GGGCGTTTGCCAGGTGTTGGTTATTTTCCACAATTATAATAACAGCCTTCTGGGTTCAGCCCCATGTTTCTGCCTCCAGATTTTCCTTTCCAAATAGAAATCAAAGCTAAAATATCTGATTAGCTCAAAACCCTTTAATCCATACAGTTCACATCATCTGCATATTTATTAATAAGTAATTCTAAGTGAGTGACCACTTCTTACCTGACAACAATACTGACTTATATTCTTCTACAGCCATTACATGTGGTCACCCTGGAAATCCTGCCCATGGATTCACGAATGGCAGTGAGTTCAACCTGAATGATGTCGTGAACTTCACTTGCAACACTGGCTACTTGCTGCAGGGTGCATCTCGAGCCCAGTGTCGGAGCAACGGACAATGGAGTAGCTCTTTGCCTACTTGTCGAGGTAGGAAAAGCTTCCAGTTGCTGAGCTCCTAACTTTCAGAGTGTGGTATGCTGATGAAAACGCAAATGGGACTGCCGAGGAGGCTAGTCTTCATGATTAAATAGTAAAGTTTCACCTCGGTGTGTACAGAGCTCCTGCAAACTTCCATCATTGTGGTATGAAAACATTTCTGAGAATAATACACAGATCTCTCAATGGGCTTTGTCTTGTCTATTGGCCAGATAATCAATCACAAAAATACAGAATTCTCTATTTTAAAGACAACTCATCGTCCATTTATCTTTTTATTCAATCATTCATTTATTCCTACCATGTATTTTAACATTTTTTGTCCCTTAAAGTTCTAATCTTATGCATTTCTTCAAGGTGTTCTTATTGCTTTTAAAATTTAATTGTATTTTTTATTCATTTCTTTAAAAATTGTCATATATATCTGGATAAAATCTGAACTTCCAAGAAAGTGCTGCTTTACAGTTTTTGTATTCCTAGGTGTTTGCGCTCATAATGTTTAAGGTTTTGCTTCATTTTCTTGCTATGAAAACGTCTCTATTATTGAAGGTGAATTATACTTTAGGGTGAAGGTGATTTACTTGTTATTAATGATAGTTGCATGGTATTAAAGTCAGATACTTACAAATTTCTCTTGCTCTGACAATCACCACAACGCCCCACAGAGCTTGCATAGGCAATTGAGAGAACAGCAGAATGGAAATCAAAGTATTGTTTTTATTAATAGTTGCATAAAGTTTGCTATGTAACTGCAGAGTTCTGACAAATTGGATTGTTAGCTTAAGCTCAAAGTCTAAATAAAGCCTCCTAATTTGTTTTGCCTCTGAAATACAAATGTTAGGACCAGAATGTTCGGGAATTAGGCCAAGGCACAAATGAAATTTAGTTCACTTGCCCAAGCAGAGCCCATACAGGAGAGCCCAAGGCCTGAGTCCTTGCCTTAAAGCACTGTATGCATGGTGGAGCCAGAGCCTTGGTGGCTGCCCAGATTTGCCATCAATTCTTCTCCCTTAGATACTTGCTCGCGTAGGTCAGCCCAACATCCTTGAGTGTTAGGTTTTTCAGCTTTTAATAATTAATTTCATTTTATCCCATCATGGTTCTAGAAAGAGAAAAGAAGAGAACAAAGGGAAAATTATTACATTTTTTCACCTGAGCTGCACGTTTCTTTGTTCTCTCATTACTTCCCGCCCCCCTACCCAGTTACTCTAATAATTCAACCAAACAAACAAAGTCTGATGTGCAGATTTAGAGTTGACATGATCTCCTCCAGTTGGGCCTTATTATCACAGCTGTAAATTAAATGATACTCAGAACAGCCCACTATTTGTAATATAGCATAATTTAACCACTATGGCAGTTTAACTATCACAAGTTACAACTATACAGTAATGTTTTAGAAAGTATAGATGAGTGAATAATAGAATAGACTTTGGAATTCCATAGACCTAACTTTAAATCTGTTTGAAGGTTGCATGACTGATTAAGTAACAGAGCTGGATTCAAGTCCAGATTTGATCCTTCCGAAGCCACGCTTTTTTCACTGCCCTAGGCTACTTCCCGGTAGCATGTGGGTAATTTTTCAGTTACCATGAAAACTCTTTTTGAATTCTCTGACTCTGTCATGTCTGGATAATCATAAGCATAGCAATTTGCTCAATTTATTGACATAATAACAGCATTTTCTCAATACAAATCCATCATTGGATACTCCTTCGGTAGTCGGCCCAATGTGGAGATGATTTAATTTGTAATGTGTTCAGCATATTATTTTCTATGAGATAAAATGTCATCAGTGCAATTTTTTCCATTAAGATCCTCTTCTTTTCTGCTCAATGAATAAATAATGTTTAATTAAAGTTTTTATTTTGAGATAATTGTTGAAGAACATGGCATCGCTAGACATAATACATAAAGATCTCTTCTTCCCTCCACCCCGTTTCCCTCCACGGTAATTAATATCTTGAAAAGCTAGAGTGCAATATAATAACCAGGATGTGAAAGTTGATGCAGTCAAGATACAGAACAGTTCTGTTATCACAAGGACGCATCCTGTTGCCCTTTTGGAACAACCCCCACCTCTCCTTACCTCATTCTTCCCCACCCACAACAAACCACTAATTTCTTTTCTCTTTCAATAATCTTGTGATTCTAAGAATAATTTTATATAAATAAATAGAATCATTTGGTAGGTAGTATGTAACTTTTGGGGATTAGCTTTTTCATTCCCCGTGATTCCCTGGAGATTCATTAAAGTTGTTGCATTTATCAGTAGGTGGTAGTCGGATCCTTTTTTGGAGGTCCTTCTTTTTTTTTGGTTTTTCCCCTAAGTCATAGTCCATGGTTTGGATATACCATAGTTTGTTTAATCATTTGCTCACTGAAGTACATGTGGGCTGTTTCCAGTTTTGTTTTGTTTTTTTTTTTGCTATTACAAATAAAGCTGCTACGAACATTCGTACACATGTTTTTGTGTGATCACAAATTTTAACTTCTCTGGGGGAAAAAACTCTATTGCTAGGTCATATGGGGTAGTTGCTTACTTAATTTTGTAAGAAACTGCCAAACTATTTTCCAGAGTGTCTGTATCCTTTCACCTTCGTGCTGGCAATGTGTGAGTGATCCAGTCTCTCCACGTTCTCAACAGCATTTGGTGTTGTCACTGTTTCATTTTAACGATTCTGATGGATGTGTGATAACATCCTGTGGTGGCGTTAATTTGCATTTTCCTGATGGTTAGTCATGTGAAACATCTTTTCATGTACATATTTGCCATCTATAGATCCTTTTTGGTGAAATTTCTATCCATTTATTTTGTCTGTTTTCTAATTGGATTATTGTTGTTTATTAGTGCTGGGTTTTAATATTTCTTTGTATATTCTATATACTTGTCCCTTGTCAGACATGTATTTGGCAAGTATTTTTATCTGTCTGTAGCTTGTCTTTTCATCCTTCAACAGGGTCTTTCAAAGAGCAAAAGTTTTAAATTTATCAACTTTTCTTTTTATGGATCATGCTTCTACGTCAAATTTAAAAACTCTTTGCCTAGTCTTTGATCATGAAGATGTATTCCTTTTTTTTCCCAAAAGTTTCATAGTTTTATGTTTTACCTTTAAGTCCATGATCCATTTTGTTTTAATTTTTTAAGGTACCAATTTTGAATAGATGCTCATTTTTTTTTTGCCTATAGATGTTCAGTTGAAACTGAATTTTCATTAAATTGAACGGAACACTCAGAGGTCTCTTTGAACTTCATAGATCTAATCCTTTGTTGTAAAATACAAAGGGAAAGTGTCCTGGTTTTTATTTTATAATGTTTTTAAAGATAAGCGTGCTTGGAGTCTGTTCTGTGGACTGTGTCGTTATGAAGAATTCATAAAAGGAAAAGTTGACTATGTCCCTCAATGAGAAAATGAATTTTGTGCTCTGAATAATTTAAGATGCTTAAAGTTGTCATAAGAGCGATGTTGATTTTAAGTAATTAAAAGGAAATATTGTCAGGAATTGCTCCTATATTTCTCACCTGATATAAAAAGGTGAAATTAAAAATCGAGTCTTAAAGCAGTCTGAAAATAATGTTCTAAATTTAACATTTTTCATGAATTGATCCATAAACACCTTGCTGTGTGTTTATGTGACTGTACCCACTTTTCATAAAAAAGATGTACTGTTGATGGGTGTAATTTCTATATGTGAATAGTTTTTCATGAAAATTTACATCAAAAACATGTATTTTCCACTGTAAAAATATGTTGGTAGTATAACATGAGTGATAGTACAGTGTAATATGGGAAATCATTGCTTGTTTGGGGACCATTGCACGTAAGCTCCCCAGGCTGAGTTTTCATGCGGTTAGCACTGCTGGCCTCACCAGAGACAAACACCTGTGACAGTAAACTCACTTTTGTGGGGGGAGGAGTTAACTCGTTGCATAAAAATCACACTGGAAGTATTTCTCATCCCTCCTTTCCCTTTAGTAAATCTTAGTAGTCATTCAGAAAGACTGTGAGATGCTACCTTAGATTTGACATTGATTTTGCATTTAGTAGAATGACGGAAAACTGCTATTTATGGATAATAGCTATATACATCAGATTAACTACTTGTACCATTTCTTATGTTGTTTACAGATATTGTTTTTCTGCTTTAAAAACTAGAGTTGACAATATCGTAGTAATTTTTTTCTGCCTTCTTCAATGAAGTGAAGTTACTGCAGGTCTGCATTTAGATTTTAAATACCATGACAGAGAGCAGAATTCTTCATAACGACACAGTCCACAGAATAAAGACTCCAAGCACGCTCATCTTGAAAAACATTGAAAAACGAAACCCAGAAAACTTTCCCTTTGTATTTTACAACAGAGAATTAGATCTATGGAGTCCAAAGAGCTCTTTGAGCGGTCCATTCAGTTTAATGAAAATTCAGTTTCACTTTTGCTTTTAATGATAAAAAGTGTATTCTTCTCTTCAAAGAATTGGAAGCAGACTTCTTAAAATACATATATAATAGGCATTTGGGGTACCCTGAGACTTTGGCCTTTGTTGCTAGCTGCTTCAGTGCCATTATAGTGCGTCACTCTTGGGGTGAATTATTTTAGAAATGGAAATATAAGACTGAGCCTGGAGGGAAGATCAGAAAACGTCTTTAACTGCTGACGTTGACATCTATTGGTCATTAATGCATTCCGGGAGGAAAATAGGATTTTACCCTGTCCAAGTGGAATGATTTGAAAACCCCAGAAAACACATCAGTCTATTATTTCAAACTTTGTAAAAGTGTCCTCAGGTTAAATGGAGTTCATTGTAAGTGATCTTTCTAAGTAGTCCTCAGTTTTAAAACATACTTATAAAAGTTCACATAAATATACATACAGGGAAGGAGTCTTGAATAAGCAGAGAGCACTGCTTTTAGATTCAGGAGTACTAGATTTAAGTCTCAACAAACTGATTCTGAACAAGCCTGCTATCCCTGTATAGATATATATACATGT